GACGTTTACATTAATTTTTCTCCGTCTTGGATTGTTTTCCTCCACTTGCAGGTTGTACGCGCTGATGTACATTATTCAGTTTTGGGGAGAATAGGGGATATTTAGCATTTCGAATTTTTGTTTTTACAATGAACTTAATGGATTATTTTTAACGATTGACTGATAGAAAATTTTTTCTAGAATGATTTCATTTTTCAGGTTTGTTTTTCGAAACATCTACGCCAAGGTTCAGTTTAAAAGACCTATTGACTATGATCATGGATAGTTGGTGATATTCAAGTGTAACAAACAATATGAGATAAAACAAATATCTCCAGAGTGGATGACGCATCTACATAAATCGGAATTGTTTTGCCACATCTCAATGAGGAAATAAATTTGAAGTTCAAAAATTAACGGAGCGTACACACATTTGCTTTTTCGTACACTCAATAACCCCAAGTAATATTTTCATTTTATTATTTTGATATTCCACGACGCTATACTACATTCGTTTCATTTTTTAACTTCTTTCTATAAACCTGCTTCTCATATATATATATATATATATATATATATATATTATCGTTGGTCAGCACCTGCCTGCCTTTGTATATAATGTGTATGTATGTAGGTATATTCCCATTGTATCGATACTGTATAACATATGTTTACCTGTGTGTGTATGTGTGTTTGTGTGCAAACATCCGCATGTGCACATTTTTGTTTATTCAAGATTTTGTTATGCCGTTGACTTTCATAATATCTCTCAGCTTTTTTTTTAATATTCATTGGAAAAACCAAAAATTCAAAATATATTGAAAAATGTATATAGTTTTTACTGCAGGGTTTTTTAAATTAAATTTGATTTTGAAATGTTCATTCTAAAGCTATATACATATATATATATATATATACATATATATAAATAGTAATCACAATTGATGCATTTGAACTAGTAATCTCTGGTGTCCTGGTAGAATTTTTAGTACGAATTTTTTTAAGAAAATACATATTTTTACCAATTTAATGCTGCTTTCAGGCAAGCAAGCCAACGCCCTTTATTACAAGGATTTTCAATGTTTACATACATTGGGTTGTACGGCAAGTTTCTGACTTTTTTGTTAAATTCGAAGTAAGTGGTCAAACTCTAACAGTGTATAGCAAGATAAACAAATTTATTAATATTTTTTTTTTTTTTTTTTTGTAATAGAATGCTTTCTGGTAGTCAAGTCAACTAAGGTATTGGGAAAAACTCTTTCTAAAATTCTCCACTGGATTGAATTTTTTATTCCAGCGCACCAAAATGAATTGATACACTTCGCTATAATCACAAAAGAAATCGCAATAGCTTTTCCAATAACAATCCAAGCTAGTCTTATAAAGAGGGCGCAATAAGAGGAAATAAATATGCATATACATATATTCGTGACTTGATCTCCTCTTGGTCGTCGAGTCCTTTGCTTCACTCTTAGTAGTGAGTTTCAAGGTAGTTAGTTTTTTGTCGTATTCTACACCCAGTATAACACCCAGTATAAATTTGATACTAGATAGAAATAAAGGAGTTCTGTATATAGTTTATCCAGAACTTGTAAGCGATGCCAAGTTGTTGTTTTATCGATAAAAACGAAATACACAATACAACAGCGTGTTATTGTAAGAGAAAAAGCGGAGAAAAAAGAAAATTTATAGAGGATACGAAAAAAAGAAAACAATGGAAAGGATTTAGATGAAGAAGAAAATGAAAGGCTAAATAACAATAAATATTTATATTGTAATAGTAATTTACTTAGTGAAATTAATTTTTTTCCTTATTCTTAGAATTGCTTTAGGGAAGTTTTTTTTTTTTTTTTGTTTTGAATTTCCTATCATATCCTATAGTCTAAAACGAGCGAAGAGCACGTACGTCCCCACGGCAGGAAATTTTTCAGAAAGAGAAAAAAATCATTATCACCCACAAACTACAATATGTTTGTATTAAAAATATATGCATATTTTACATACTACGTCCAATACTATAGAGTATAGTATATCGAAGTTTTCTTATCGATTTCTCTTTAGAGTGAAAATGGTTCGATGGTTCCTTCGCAGCCGAATGTAATTTTCTTACTTGTTATTTTTCTTCTCCTTTTTCTCATGCAATGAAGATTCGAAGCGCAGAACTTGAAAACGTCTACAAAAAGTCAGCTGATGTACTATCTGTTAATGGAACATTTATACTAAAGTAGGTTTGGGTACTCCTAGGTACTTACTCATATCATACATATTTTACAAATCTATAGATCATGTCTCTTACGTCCACATATGCTTTTAATGCTCTATCTATCGGCTTAGCAAATACGATTATGTATGTGTATGTGACTCCTAATAACATGCGATAGACGAACGTGATTATATTGATGCAGAAACTCCTACCATGCGCATGTACGTAGTTCTTCTTATTCCTAGACAGAGTAAATTACAATAGTAGCGTATCGGTGCTTCGTCGCATAGCCATGTCCTTCAACTATGCTTAGATATATCATCAAAACTTAATTACAGGGCTTGACCTTTGTCATGTGCATGTTGAATATCAATAAATTGGTTTTAGATATGAATTTGGGGAAAGTTCATAATAAAATGTTTTAAAATTTCTCTTACTTGTGAGAAACATATTAAATTTTGACTACTGCGCACTAAGTCGTGATCATAAGCAACAGCGGTGTGATTGTTATTCATAATCATATTTTTCGGTGACTAATTTCCTCAACTGAATGGGCTGGCACAAGACCCATGTCGTGTAAGATCATTCTAGCTTGTGTGTTATGATAATAATCCGGATCTTCAGAAAAAGTTATATAGTGGGGAGAATTTGTTTCATATATTAGATGCGTGCATATGCTTTCATCATTTTTTCACTTGAAAAAGCCATTTATTGAGACCAATTGATACAACGTATGTTAATCATTTTCCACAAGTTGTTACCATCCTTTTTGGCAACGTGGCCATACCGCTTCAAACGAATTTGTATTGGTTTGGCAGCGAGCCAATCATCGATCAATTTTTGCACTTCTTCAACATTTCGAAACCATATGACAATCAAAGCAAGCTATTATCGGAAGGCACTACGTCTGGTGGGTAGGCTGGGTTCGGCACAACTTCCCATTTGAGTTACGAGAATATATGCTTGACACGTGTGGTCGAACGTCATGTCATGCAGGATGACCTTGGGTCTGTTAACTGCAATTGCTGGTCGTGGTATTTGCCACAATATAACGTCTATTTTGTTCAAGTGACGTCGATAGGCATTTTCATTCAATTCGTATGGTAGCCATTTTTTTTGTCTTTTTGCATCCTCTCTGTCGTTGATTCATCAGCTACTAACCAGTTTGAAAGCTCTTTAAGAATCCAAGTCCAAGAAGGCTAGCAATCTCCTCCCAGAGACCATTCTTCTTTGTCGTTGTCCATTAAGTTCACCTCCTTTAACCTTTTGAAACCACAACCAACAATTAGGATATGTCGGAGCATCATCGCCGCAAATGTTTGACGGGCTTCGGCAGGCGATTTCTTCAAATGCAACACAAAAGTAATGAACGTCAATAATACAATATTGAGCGTTCCATGATTAGCGTACTCATGCACTGAATAACTCAGTTATACTCAACTACAATTTTGTATAGAGAAAGGTCAAAATCATCGAACCTAACCGTTGTCTACATTGATACTTTGCCTTACTGGGCATTGCTTTGTCAATTTTACCAATAAATGTTGCTGATCAAAATACATGCAATCGCTTGAAGTTCAAGTCAGTCTACTAGTGTACAAGTGGAATAGTCCGAAGAGGTACGAAATCAAAGAATGGATGTAAAAAAATGAAGTCAAAAAATCTGTTGCTTGTCCCGCCAGTTTTTGTACATAAATCGTGCTGTAACCTGTGTAAGCGTGCAAACGTAAAAGCCGAGTAGATGTTGAACGTCAACGAACTGTGTGCAAATTATTCATTCAGAACGAATATCGGCGACGATGCCTCTACAATATAAATAATGATAGACAATTTGAGCTGCTGATCACAAACAGCAAACACACAGCCATTTGTAGAATATCAAGGAGAGTTTAACGTCAAGTTTAATCATTTATAAATGCGTGAATGGGGCTTGAATGATTTTCTTTGCTGTCTTATGAAATCGAAACAAAAACCTACTGGTCCGTGTTTATTGCTTAGAAATGCTCAAAGCTGGTTAACTGTTCAAATGACGATATGAGCGAATTCTTATTACCCGTCGAAGGTCCTGCTTTCCTTGATTGGCAAAACTCCGTCTTCAAAATGCTCGCAAAGGCGACCGTTACAAGTTACAAGATACAATCCATATGAAAAGTTTTAATTAATAATCCCTTCCAAGTTACAGACAATTAAAAAAAGGGAAATCTTTCTTATGATGAAAGAAAATTGTTATAATAATGAAATTTGACTCGGGGTTAAATTACTTAAAACGAAAGGTCAGCAATTGCTCGAATTCTATTATAAAAGTGTTGATATATATGTATTTGTTATATTCTCTTTAAAGCGCGCTAGGCTTCTAAAGCTAGCTATTAACCACACTTTCGTTTTTTTTTTTTTTTTTTTTTTGTTTTTTAAAGCGATTGGTAACATGACGCTGAGAAGTATCAGACAAATCAATCATTATATTTACGAAAACTTTGATATATTGATTGTATAGCAATTTATTCTCACTCTTATTTATTTTCACTTTATATATATATATATATATTATATGTATATATATATATATATATATATTTATATGTATATGTTTATATTATTATTTGTTTTGTTGCAGATTACAAAAATCGATAAAAAAAAGGGAATTAAAAGAAAAAAGAAAATAAAAATAGAAAACAAAAAGCACGTACTATAAACAATATACGAACAGCAACAATAATAACAACAAAGTACGCATCACTATTGGATAGATGATAACTCTTTAGAAATTCCATCATTTATATATATATATATGTATATATATGTATATATATATATATAATATATACAATTATTATATATAAAAAAGAAGAAGAGTAAGTGTATCAATAGTTTATTATTATTATTTACATTTCAAGCCTAAGTAAAGTTTTTTTTTTTTTTTGTTTTTTCGTAATAGAAAAATCAATATAAATTCACTTTGCTCCGCCCGCTTAGTTAAAAGGAGTGCGATAACAATCGGTCGGAGAGATAGCAGCACAATGGAGCTACGTGTGGGTAATAAATATCGTCTGGGACGAAAAATTGGCTCCGGTTCATTTGGTGACATATATTTGGGTACAACAATTAATACCGGCGAAGAGGTGGCTATTAAATTGGAATGCATACGTACCAAACATCCACAGCTGCATATTGAATCGAAATTTTATAAAATAATGCGTGGCGGCATTGGGATACCGCGTATCATTTGGTGTGGTAGTGAGGGAGATTACAATGTTATGGTTATGGAGTTATTGGGACCTTCGCTTGAAGATCTATTCAATTTTTGTAATCGCCGTTTTACCTTGAAAACAGTGCTGCTATTGGCTGACCAAATGATATCGCGAATCGATTTTATACACTCTCGAGATTTTATACATCGAGATATAAAACCTGATAATTTCCTTATGGGTCTGGGCAAAAAGGGCAATCTAGTGTACATAATTGATTTTGGTTTGGCGAAAAAATTCCGTGATTCTCGTTCAATGAAACACATACCGTATCGAGAAAACAAGAATCTGACCGGCACCGCTCGCTATGCCTCCATTAATACACATTTGGGTATTGAACAATCAAGACGTGACGATCTTGAGTCGTTAGGGTATGTGCTAATGTACTTTAATTTAGGAGCTTTACCCTGGCAGGGACTGAAAGCAGCCAATAAACGTCAAAAATATGAACGCATTTCGGAAAAGAAATTATCCACGACCATAATATCACTGTGCAAGGGCTTCCCTAGTGAATTTATAAATTATTTAAATTTTTGCCGTCAACTGCATTTCGAACAGCGACCAGACTATTGCTATCTACGTAAACTGTTTCGCAATCTATTCCATCGTCTGGGTTTCACTTACGACTATGTGTTCGATTGGAATTTGATGAAATTCGGAGGACCACGTAATCCCCAGGCACTGCAACAAGCTCAAGGTGATAATGGTCAGCAGCAACAAGAGGCCTCGTCGACAGCCCAACAACAACAACAGCAGCAACAACAGCCACAACATCAGCATTCACAAAGTCAGTTAAACAGTGCCGTGGCGGCTGTGGGAACTACGGGAACGCAAACGCTAATGTCTACCGGGGGAGTAGGGGGCCAAACTTTGGTCACTAACAGCACTGGTGGCATAATGGGTGGTGGTTCTCAAATGATGGTTGGCGGTGGCAATGGCGGTCTTACTATGGACGATTCAATGGCAGCCACAAATTCATCTCGTCCTCCCTACGATACACCCGAACGTCGTCCCTCAATTCGCATGCGTCCCAGTGGGGCTGTACAAACGGGCGGTGTAATTTCCGATGTGAGAAGTGCGAAATAATACTTTCTCTTTTAAAGAAACGCCTATTTACTATCTGTTTGTGTGTATGTGTACGTCTCAATATATTTAACTATCCATCTATATTTTTTACACGCAACATACAGAGCGCCTGTTCTTTCTGTAAATTGATCGCACAGATGCGCTTGAGAACTAACCTCTCCCGGTCTTGCGAAGATTTTGTATAATTTTTATATGGTTTTTTTTTTTTTTTTTTTTTTTCCTTTGTATTTCATCATTTAAACTGTATACAAAACAACTTATATATATATATATATAACATATTACTATCGCATCGTTATACTAACAACATTCAATACAACTATTATTAGTTGCAAATGTACATGTCACTGAAACTTGAACGAATTATTCGTTTTGCATAGACGAGAGATGTACATTATCACTGTTTCGAATATTCGTTTTCTTATTCTTGCGAAATTTCCGTTGCGATGAAATTACCAATGAAGTGAAATTTCTTTCGTTGTCGAGGATTAATCCTCGATTAATTATTCAATTAATTTCAGTTTGAAAAAAAAAAAAAAAAAAAAATACTCAACGAAAATGACGGCAACCATGATTATCGAGCATGCACTATTATTCGAGGAAATCTATTATTTCATATATTAGCTCCATGCGCATATATATATATATATATATATATATATATATATGTATCTCTCTAGTGCTATACATATGAACTTAAGATTTTTTTTTTTCTTTATCTTTCGCTTTTTCTCCTGCTTAATTTTATCCATATTAATGCATAATTTAGCAACAATACAAAAAAAAAAAAAAAAAAAAAAAAATCATAATTAAAAATTGAACGTATTATGCTTAATTTGTATGAGAACACAGAATTTTCATTATCCATCATAATAATATGTATATGTATAATTTTTTTTTATATTCATCTCACTTCATTTTATTATATATAAAATAAGTGAGTTAAACACAAACAAACAAACACATGTAAATATATAGACTGTGAAAAATAAAAATGAAATTTAATTTTTGGGTCTTGATTAGGACGGACGGAATAGTCTCTTTATTTTAAAATGCTTAATAATATATATATATATATATATGTATCAGTTTCTTGTCCATGGCTGTTTCGTCTAAATTCGATTAATTTGCCTACACTTAGATATGTAAATCAAATTAGGATTAAAACGAAAGATAATTTTACTTATCTAAGTAGTATCGTTTAAGATGTGCCGTGGGAAACCAATTCTTTTCTTTTTTTTTTTTACGCTATCTCTAAATTTTTAAGTAATTTTAAGTATAGACAATGAATTATAAGAAATGATTGTTCCATTTGATAGCTATAAAAACAAAAACACAAAAAAATGCTTTTTTCCCCTTTCATCATCACCATGTGTTACGGTGTTTACGGTGGGAGGGGGAGAAGAAAAATTATCAGGTTGGCAAAGAAATTGCAATACAACTTTTCCCTTCGCCACTTGCACATTGTAAGTGACATAATGAAAAAAAGATGGAGAGAAAACTGCAAGGTTTTATGCATATACATATTGATATATATATATATATATATATGTATATATATGTCGATCTGTTAAGTAGCAGTTAATTTAAGATAAGCATTTCAGAACTTGAAGATATCGCTTTGGGACAACCCATTGTAATTTAATCATTTATATATTCACCTTTTGTCTTTTGATCTTTCAATATAATTTCGGAAATAATAGAAAAAACAGAACAATTTTCTTGATAATCTGAAAAGAATGTCGATGAGTGCGCTGCAATCTATCGTTCTTATTATTATTACTTCTTATGTAACCCATACAAAAGAGATAAAACTAAAGTAAAGCAACCACATATAGTTGATAGATTATATTAAATGAAGAAAAGAAGTTTAAAATATTTTTGCAATATTTGCAGTTTTCATTTTTTTTTTTTTTTTTTTGTTTAAATATAATTTTTTTTTTTTTTTTTTGAAGAAAAGCAAACTACTAAAGTTAAAAAACAAAAAAAAAATAAAAAAAATAAAGCCTCAATTGAAGGAGAATCATAATAATTAGAAGTTTTGAATTAAAAAACAAATTAACAAGTGTTTAGTTAGCCTAAAACTATTTTTAAAAAGAAGAAATATTTAAAAGCAGGTAATAACGAAAAAAAAAAAAAAAAAATTATAAAATAATAATTAAGTTAAAATATATTTAAATGTGACCATTAATAATAATTAAATAATTTTAATAAATTCTGAATTGCAAATGAATAAAATTTTTATGTTATCGTTTTTGAGGTTATGTCTTTCTCATGCATTCATTGTGCATTAGATTTATGAAATATGAAAAAATTTAATTAAAAATCTAATAAATGAATCAAATTAAATATATCTGTATTTATAAAGCATAAATAAAAATACATGAAAATAAACTCTTTCTAGATTAAGCTTTCATGATTAAAATATATATAAAAAAAGTTTTTGTTCATTTTTATAACACAAAAGAGATAACATTAACATCCTAGTTGTTAATATTTAATATACTGAAAAAAAAAAAAATCAAGAATTAATACTTAGCGCGCCTTATAATTTTTTCACGAAAATTTTTTTGTTGCCTTTTTTTCATTTTAATTTTTTTTTTTTCTTTTTAACTAATATTGAAAATTTCTAATAAAGTGTATCTATCGCAAGCTGCTGCTGTAGAAGCGAATTTGTATAAAAAAAAAGTGACCATTTAAGTAACTAATATATAAATTAAAAAAAAGAAAAGTTTTTTAAAATTTAATTTTCGCGATAACTAATGACCGAACACTTTTATACATTCACCTCAACGAATCAATGAATTTTTCCTTTAGGAATAAATAGAGACTAAGAATCGCCAGAATGTTTGGATATTTTCATTGCTTTAGCCAATGCGAAAGATAGGCGAGAGATCTTGCGGTATCGTAATAATCGAGGCATACATCTTGAACTTTTTACATGTATATTAGTTTGTCATACGCAAATTAAATTTGAAAATGGATGTGATATGTTCCAAAATACAGTCACAAGTGGACCATTTTTTTTTTGAAAAGTTTCCAATATGCGGAAATAATTGCGTAGTTCAAAAGACCAAAGTAGTCCTTAGCGGACAAAACGCCATTGGAGACCATTACTTACATTATTACAACATTTACGTTACTCTATAGCCTTCAGCTTGTAGCAGGTCCATTAGGCTAGCTTAGATCGAATCTAGAACCATTGCTCAATTAAGGCTGTTATGGCAGCGTTAGCTATATGTATGTAGAATATGTACTCACTTCGTAATCGATTTGGTGAATATATTCTACTAGTAAGTATGCATAGATGGGCTCCATAGAGCAATGTATTCGCAAAAAATTTTCATTTTGACTGAAACGATTCAGATGATAAATGTTTCTGCTTTTTACGAATGCGAGAAAAGCCAAAAAACGACCTAAACTCTAAAAATGTTGTCAAAACGGGGAGGAGATATGACGAATCGCAAAAAAGAAAACAAAGTACGATTTTCATTTACTAACTTGACGCGGTGAGTATTAAGGATTTAGTCAAAAGGAGAATTTCAGCGCTACTGTTTTACTCTCTTTCAAAAATTTTAAAAGTTTTGCGAAAATAATTTTAAAAAAATCCTATGGCATATTTATGCCATGTTGTTTGTTCAAGAGAGACTTGTTTTAGTTATGTGTTAGAGACTATACATGCACCCCAAATATTAACTAAAAGGCGGATATATGCAATAATGCCTCGGCCTGTCTGCTTTCGATTATTTATTCAGCAATTTTTTAAAGTTCACTTCAGGTTTTGGTGGTGGTTAATCAAGTGGTAGATTCTATCTTACGCCCTTTTTTTTAAATTTCAAGTGTTTTCGAAAATCTAGCACAGCAGTGATAGGCTCTGCTAATGATTTTATTCCAATTGTTGGAAAATGAGAAAAGAAAGTTGCCGCAAGGACCTATCGCTCAGTGATGGCTTTATAGAAATTATATTATTCCATATCTAGAAATTTATATAGAAGACAACTTAAAAAACTTACATATATATATATATATATATACATACATATGTGCGTGTAAGTTTGATAAAGAGATTATATTCTAAGAAATTCGCCAATGACTTGATCATGTTCGTCCATCCGTCCGTCCGTCCGTTGTTGCTGCTGTAATTGTCAGGATAGAAACTTGATTAGTTGATAAAGAATTGGAGGGAGAGGGAAGAAGAGAGCATATCCTATTTAAAATGTTTGAAAAATCGAAACATTCATCATAGAAATTTTGTCACGAAATTTTCAAGTAAACTCAACTCAAGTAGAGATGATGTGTGAAAAAAAATATATATTTGCACTATTTCGTCAATTTTAAAAAACTGCTGTGATCTTGTATCGACTTGTTTAAAATGGTAGGTATCTAAGATTCAGTCTGAAACTGTTTTTCTTTTGTTTTTCCTTTTTTTTTCTTTCAATTAAAATTTAAAATCTGAAATTATAATGAGAGAAATTTGAAAATAATAGATGATAAGTCGTAGGAATCTTAAAATTTAATATTTATTTGTAATATCGCAACTTAAAAAAAATTTATTCATAGTTTGTCTTTCGTGTGTTATGTTAAACGTTGTAAATATTTCATAACTTTGCGTATATGTACAATACATTTTAACGAACAAATATATATATATATATATATATATATCTAGATGTACGGACACTAGATTAGTATATATGATGTATAAAAATTTGTAGATTTCTTTAAATATTTAAGTCGAGCAGAATTTATGTATGAATGGAGACAAAAAAAAAACAGTGATATTCTAAAAAATAATAACAAAAAAAAAAAAAAAAATAAGAAAGAAACGCCTGCAAATTTACTAAAACCTAACTATGATATTATGTATATGTATGTATTTGTACACTTAACATCTCTAGAGAACTATCTATATATATATATATATATACATATATAAATACTATAATATATTTTAACTTTTATAATTAATCATAGACAAAACAAAAGGAATTTAGTAATTTATGCAAAAACAAATTTTTTTAAATTAAGTTTAAATTACAAAAAGAAATTAAGAAAAAAAAAAAGAATTTTATATCATTGAGTAAGAAAGGTCAAAAATAAATTCTTTTCTTGAAGTATCCTCTTAAAAAAATTACATATACAAGGGACTAAGTTTTTTGAAGAGCTACTAAACTCAACAAGAAAATGAAAGACGTTTTCATACTCACTGATTATATGTTATTTATAAATGAAAGTATGGTTAAAAAAAAAAAAAAAAAATCCATATTATCAATTAATGTCTGTATAAAAGCCGTGCATAATAATAATTATTATAGTAAGACTAAAAATCACAACAACAAAAATCATTAATACGTTTCAGGCGTATTTAATGGAAATACAAAAAAAAAAAAAAAAGAAAAATAGATAAGAAAAACCGAAATCCTTTAAAACAACAAATAAAAAAAATCAAAACTACGTATCGAAAAGAATAAAACAGACAGATAAAATTACAACAAAAACACTAAATATATGTCATTCACATTTGCATTGAACGAAGAAGCATTTCAATTTAAATGTTGACAAAATGAGAATTTTTCGTTTTTCTCTTTCTTTTTGTTTTTTTTTGTAAATTAATAACACTCTAAGGAGAACTTGTGTGATGTTAAATACAACATTAAATAAATTATGCAATAAGTGAGTACATAAATAGACAAAGAATATCCTTGTGTATATGTCATCGGGATTATGAAAAAGGATGACAAATTAAGAAATTTTATGAAAATTTGACTAAAATAAAAGAATTTTCAAACAAAGCAAGTAAAAACACTATAGTGGGACATGGCCTACCATTGAATACCTTACACCACTTCGCTTAATACGATTATTCTTATAACGACTTTTCCGAAGACGGGCTTATATTAAAAGTGGTCGAATAAGTGGTCCGATCCGTATCATTTTCAATAGCGATTGTCTTTGGGTTAAAAAAATATGTCGTGCGTAACAAAATTCATCAAAATATCTCGAGAATTCCGAGTTTTACGTTGAAATCAAGAAAACATGTTGAGCAGACAGACGGATGGAAAAGTTTATCGCTATAATAACAGATGGGTCTATCCCAAGTCCTTTTGGATATTGCATACATTCGCACAAATTTAATACACACTAATACCACAAGTGGTGTAGGGCATTAAAAAAAGCGAGTAAAAAATTATATTTGATTGTAACCAAATATTTTATATCCACCGTCTTTGTCTTGAACCAAAATTCAGGAAGATGGAATTTATAAACTCTATAGGCCTGAAAGATTTTTTCATTTTTATACAGATACTGAAGAATCACTCGCATAATATAATCGGACATTTTTATTGTTATATCAGTTGCGGAGGTAAAAAGCAATTAGTTCTCAATTTATGTTTCCTTTGATGGATTTGCTTCAGTTTTAATTCAAGAACTCATCCGCATGGACAGACAGACAGGCAGACGTAGGCAAATTCAGAATTTCACACTAACAAGGACGAAATTTAATTTATACCCTGCAAATCGTTAACTTGTCGTTATGATTTTTATTTGTATTTTGCAGCTTTAAACTGAAGGCTCATGAGCCATTTTCGAGTCTCCTACTTTTATTATCTTGTCTTTTTCAGGACTTTCGAGAAGCACGAAATTATAGGAATAATTTCATTACGGGCAGCTTGTTAAATGTGAAGAAAAATCTATTGGGTAAGCAATGTTGGGAAAAATGAATATTTATGCGTTTTGTTGTGTTCACTCTCTCGCGAGCGTTAAACAAGCGCTTATTTATTATATCTGACAATCCTGTTGTGGAACACTTTTTTTTAAAAAACTTCCAAATGACTTTAATTCGCGCTTGTCATTACGACTAATTTCCCTATGTATATAGCCACTCCTTTTGAATGTATAGCCTGCTCCTGCTAGCTTGGAGTTTCAAGCGTTTCCAAGTATGCGTTACGACCTACAATCTAAAATGAAAGCAAGTGGAAATATAAGCCGGAATCCAAGCAAACTTACATAAGTAAACGATTACACCTGGCAATGATATAAAGGTGGAAAAATTGTAAGAGACTTATTGTCCTTGATTTCTTTTCAAATACCTAAACCATCTAATAATTGTTTCAATTGTTCGCCTATATTTCTTGGTAATAATCTGTTCAAATTACTTAATTCCCTATTAAAATGTTTTAAAATTTTAATCGCAATGGAGCGATTTGCATAGGAGTTAGCTACTTTAGTTTCCCATCTCATTTTGAACTAGAGAATAGCAGTGACAATAGTTGTCATTACTGTTTGATAAATTTTTTAAAAAATCACTCAAGAAGTAGTGCTTCAGCAACATGAGCGTAAAACAACGAAAATCATTCTATATACAAAAAAAAATATATATTCTATAGTAATAATTTGGATTTTATCTATTTTCATCAAAAATGTATAATAATTATAATGTCGATTAGAGAAAACTTTATTATAAAGTTTATTAATATTTGCAATACATTTTTGATTTTTCTTTTAATTCAATAGAAGCAGCTTTTGGAGCAAGATACATCGACTTGTTTCGAAGTTTTGGTGGTTTTTAATATTTTAGCGCTTAAATAATTGAATAAGTATCAAAAATCGCCAACTTGATTAAATAACAAAACGCAGCATTGATTTTATAAGCGACCATTTCAATGTGATCGTTTCAGTCGCTTAGTTGAGCTCGGCTCGTTAATAGACGAAAAAAATATTTCTTTAATTTAATCAATAATTTTCTCGAAACTCGTGGTG